TGTTAAATACCATCTCAGCGGAAGGAGCAAAGGGTTGCATAGCAGTCACGGTTCGCTAGGAGTGTGGGGTCATCACCCTCAATCCCTAACCGCGACAGACGCGGACAAAGTAATGATTGTATAAAACCCATGGCTATCTTCAGAATCTTCATTCTGTTCACCTGACGACCTTCTGAATGGACGCCTTCCTTTCGATTTTCCTGAAAATTTTGTAAATATTTAACTATTAATCTTCAATATTTTTATCTGCGTGTAATTTCCATTTTCACCAAGATCCAATCAAATAACTATAATAGATTTTTGTATAACGGAACGGGGGACTAGTGTATGTTGCGAAAATAAATAAAGAANTAAATAATCTTCTAATAAGCTTTCGCAGAGGTTTTACGGTATATACATATATATTTCCTCTGACACTCATCTGTTGAGATTAGATCGCTATTCCAGTCATAAAATTCATTTTAACCTATATGTTTCGATCACCAACTGTCATTTTGGTCCAATCAAAGCTTCCCTGTTGTGTCAGAAATCTGATTTCCTTGAGTACCGTAATGTAAATGAGATTGCACATCCGTTGTTTTGCTCATTTGATACCCTCTACATTAAGCCTGAATAGTTTTTGTATTCAACATTTCATTTTTCCACGATTCTCCAGATATAGAAGTCGGCGGCATAGCTGTGCGGCTGAGGCTTCTACGTGGAACCCGAAAAAACAACTTTTCTCCGTCCATCTGGGGCTGGGAGAAAAGTGAGGTTTTGCAAGCGGTTGCAGGCGTAAAAAATCGCTTGCGAACGCCGAATTTTTCTCAGCCACGTAAGAGGACGGAATAATAAAATCGGCGAAATAGTGTGTGCAGAGAAAAAGCGTCCTATATAAGCGACCCATCGTGCATCGTTTTTATTCTATTCTTTTTTCATGACAGCCGTCTGATTTTGGTCGTCTCTTTCTATTGATTTTTTTCGAAATGTGATTTTTTGAAGAGGTAAGCAGTTGGTTTTTCGTAGGAGTTGTGAAAATAATTTGTATTATTTGATCCTCTACACGGAGGACAAAAAAATCCTTTTTTTTGTAGGTTATTCTGAGTAATACGGCTTTCTTCCCTACGATGTTTCTAAAGTGAATAAATAATCAATTTTCAGTTTCAACTTAAATGCGGTCATTTGACATGGCAAGTTTACGGTATATACAATTCATTCAAATATATACAATTCATTCAAAATTTCAAATTCCCATCCATCACGGATCCCATCGACCCCGAGATTCTATATCATATTTTTTAAATAGAACGATAAAACATTTGTGATCTACTTATCTGAAAAAGTTGGTACAATTCTAAATTCCCACCCGGCAAAATTCCCACCCCCCATCTACCTAATTTGACATCTATGTCACTACAAAGAACAGAAAAATTTTTGTGGCCCAGATTTCTGAAAATGTGAACATAATTTGGAATGCTCATCCTTCAAAGATCCTATACACCCATTATAAAGAAGGGGGAAATCCTCTGAAAGAAGGGGGAAATCCTCTGAAAAAACAGTCTTCACTGTTTTCACCGTCGGGTTTGGTGAGCTTTTTCCCTTCTCTCTCCCCTTCGTGCAGTTGAACATTCAGGTAAATTTGATTTTTTAAATAGAAAATTTGTTCTTGTGTATAGGGAAATACAAGTGATAGTTAGGAAAAATATTAGGGCACTTTTTGAATTATAGGTCACGCCAAAAAATAATTAGGTCAACCGAAATGATTTTTTTCCAGAATGATTAGAGCCGTTACAATCAAAGATCTTGTTGGCGTGGATATCCGAGGATATCACTTGAATCGATTGATTGGAACTGGAAGTTATGGAGCAGTCTATGAATCGTCGGCTGGATCGGAGAGAATCGCCGTGAAGGCATCCATCAGAGCATCGGATGTGCTGAATGAGGCGGCCGCTTTGCAGCGCATGTATTACTACGAATTCATACCCAAGTACTTCTTCCACGATTAGACTCCGACAATCAACGGCATACTTCCTACGATTGGTAAGACTTCATACAAATAAAAATTTAGTAAGCTGAAAAGTATAGACATTTTTGAGCATAGTGTATTTTCAAACCAAAAATTCTTGAAAAAATCCCTTTTCGAGGAATTTTTCAAGAAATTCCTCGAGTAATTTTCAAGAAACTCCTCATAAACTTTTCAAAAATTTTAAGAGAATTCCTCAAAAATTTTCAAGAATTTTATCGAGGTTTTCTCTAGGAATTTATCAAAGCCGTGTCTAAAAAAGATACACTTGTTTCGATATATGACAAAAACAAATTCCTGTGATCAAAAATAGAGGAATTTGAATCTTTTCAGGTTAAGAATCACTATGCATGGACCTTGAAACTATTCGAAAAAGAGCCCCATGGCAGGCAATCAAGCGACCAACCCTAGTGCAAATTGCCTGGCAAGCACTCAGCTGACTCGAAGCTGTGCATGGATTCAAATTGGTCCATAGAGATATCAAACTTGGAAATTTCGCGTGTTCTTTGCGAACGGGTCCGAATAATCGTGTGCCGATCAAAGTATTTGATTTTGGCCTCTCCCACCACTACATGGACGACAATGGAGATTTGATAGATGATGCGACCAATCGGGCTTTAGTCTTATGAAGTACTGCTCATTTGAAGTTGCGATGGGAATGGAACCGATGCCGAAAGACGATATTCATCAATTATCGTTTGCGATTCTCTACGCATCTGGATAAGATTTCCCTCAAAAAAATGAGGTGCCCTCCGGATGAGCTGATTGCATGGAAACGAGAGTTTGTGAGTTGAAAAGTGAGCATTAGAAAAACAAATTTTAAAATTTTCAGTTGCGTGAGCCAGCTCACACACTTCCCCCTCTTGCTCGATTTTTGACTCCCTTTTATCAAGCTTCGGGTGATTTGAACGAGTTGGTGCCCATCAATTATGAGGACTTGAAGCAGAGAATCCAACAGTCCCTTCCAGCGCACAACGCATCGGCTGATTTGTACATGGAGATGCTGGATGCAGAAGAGACGCTCGTCTGAGTCGACACCGATTGGCCAAGGAGCTAACTACTCGTTTACTTTCTTGTACCATAATTTCTCACCACAACTTGATCGATAAAAATTTTGAATTTAAATTGTTTCTTATTTCCTTCAAATAAAAATACAAAAAATTATAAAAAAGCAAAATGCGGGAAAATAACTTACAAAAAAAACTAAAGCGCCATTAGAAAAAAAAGAATAGCTAGTTTGTAGGTGCGAAGAAATATTTATAATGGGCAAATAAGCTAAGCATTTTTTGGATTATAAGTTAACCTAGAAAGAGTTAGTTCAGTCTGAAAACTCGAGAAAAAAAAAGAAAAAAAGGAAAGTGATGCATATGCTTTCAAGATACTTTGATGAATATTTGCCTCTTCATGTTTTACATAAAAATAGCACAGAGCGAAGATTGGATTTTTTTCAAAATCAAAGAAAACAAAAAAAAATGTTAAACCTAAAAAATACAATCAAATCTGATAGTTTAGGTTCAATCTTTAAAAATTGAGAATTTCATAAATTCAAAGCATGCGGAAAATTTTTTCGAGAGGGTGGCTATAGTTTTCAATAAAAACAATACTTTTCACCGGAAAAATATCACATTTCAACTAATTAAAATCATTTGTATCCTTGAAAGAAGAACCTTGCAAAAAATCTTTTTATCAAATTCGAAGGTTGGTCAGAACCAATTTATCAACTGAAAAATTAACCAAATGTCCGTGGACATTGACCCGATATCAGCTGGACTACGACACTGTGATATAATTCTTATTAACTGCTTTGCGTTTTAACTGGTTTGCGTTTTTCATGACCTAGAAAATGGGACGCTGTCGCGCCCCAATCACTAACAAAGTTCACACGAAGCTACAACACCACCATTGACACTCTACAGTAACAACTTCCCCATCAGACGTGCCAAGCAATCTTCGTCTCTCAACATCACGTGCTCTCTCGCTCCCACAGAAGGAGCGCTCCATCGCACAATGTTCTACAGGATCAGCGCCAAGGAGGAACACCAACCGCCAAGCAGGAGCAGACACACTCTCTCATAACTCTATGCTCTCTCCCCTCCTTGTCTCTGCGTCTCTAACTTTCGCTATCACTGATCTATTGTCATCATATCCCAATCAGTCATCCCATCTGCATTCGTGTAGAGAGGTCGCTCCTTCCTTCGCCCCCTTCTTGTCACCCCTATTCACTAACATCTACTGTATCCTTCTGGGATCTCTATTGCCCAGCGAGTGTTCAATAAACATGTTGTGAACCAATCCACTGTTAAATACCATCTCAGCGGAAGGAGCCAAGGGTTGCATAGCAGTCACGGTTCGCTAGGAGTGTGGGCTCATCACCCTCAATCCCTAACCGCGACAGACGCCGACAAAGTAATGATTGTATAAAACCCATGGCTATCTTCAGAATCTTCATTCTGTTCACCTGACGACCTTCTGAATGGACGCCTTCCTTTCGATTTTCCTGAAAATTTTGTAAATATTTAACTATTAATCTTCAATATTTTTATCTGCGTGTAATTTCCATTTTCACCAAGATCCAATCAAATAACTATAATAGATTTTTGTATAACGGAACGGGGGACTAGTGTATGTTGCGAAAATAAATAAAGAACTAAATAATCTTTTAATAATTTTTTGCAGACAGTAAAAATGGATTCAAAAACAATAACACAAAAAAGAACAAATTGCTGAGGTCATGCTGATGAAGTTGCGTTGTCAAAGCACAGAGAACAACCGGCACAAGTTGAAAAATTAGAGCATGGAGTTTTTTGAAATGATGAAGCATCTACTTCAAGCAGCAGTAACAAATAGAGAATGGTCAAAAATTGTTGGAGATCTCCAAGAAAACAAGGATCCAGAAGAATTCAAACAAAGATATACTTTCATCCACTAGGCAGGTAACCTACCTGGCTGTGGCGACTCTATTTACATTGTGATTTTGGGATAATGAAATTGTTGTATTAAGGCTGGCTCATGTTTTGAAAGAACTCGAGAAGATTTATAGACTACTCAAAGTCCATCGGTAAGTTAACAGGAACTCTTCTTCTTCTCTAATCATCATTTTTTAGGATGTTATCACTCTGGACCAACAACTGGATCTGGACACTGGGTAATGGATACAAAAAGAAATGGATTTCGATTCATTTCAATTTTCGGAAGCACAAAAGTGTAATAGTGCAAGTGACAGAGAAGCGAGCAGAGGAAAGTGAAGGGATATATCGATAAGGGAAACAACGTGTTAACGTCAAAGCAATTCTTCAATGCTCCGAAGAAAAATTTTTGAGATATTTGTTTTTAAAAAATAAATTCTTTTTGAAACAGTTGTTTACCTCTGTAAAAATCCATTTTCAAGGTACTTTCTCCAGCTTCAAATACCAAATTGCGTTTCAAAGTCAACTCAGAGTTTCGGTGCCCGCTTTTAAGTTTCTTATTATTGTGATTTGTCGGATCCCGTTAATTCGGACATCATAGGCTGACAAATGATCAAATTCATTTTTTCCTTCAATCTTATTCTCGATTAGAAAAATTGCCAAGGAACCAATTGGGAATATCCATCTACACACACTCATTAAAAGTTTATCGAATTATTGTGTCTTTACGTTGTCCATTGTCATTTTGTCATCTTTATGACCCTGTGTATAGCACTTACAGAGTATCCTTCACCATATCTCTTCTCCAAATTAGTAGCCCTTAGATTAGATCATCTCTTTCACCTAATCCCTGCCCCACCTGGTCACGCCCACCCTGACAGCCCCTACATAAGGCCACAGAAAAAAACACCATTCATCGTCATTCGATGTTCCTTCTAGTAGTTGTGCATGTTGATCTGGGCTAGTCAAGTCTATGAGACTTGATTATTCTGGATCATCTTGCCTCTGCTAAAGTGCCTCAATGTCTCTCTATGGAACCCCGATTGGGATCCTTGTTCTTAATTTTTCTGAAGATTTATTTCATTTCTATATTCCTATGCTATTCTAATTATTCCTGAATGAATTCAATTATTCGAACCTTTTCTACTCGGATTCATCCTACCAAGTGCAGTATGTTGGAGAGCACTGTTTTCATTATAACCAACATTTTGGAATTAATTCCACAAAGGCTCGATTCGACGAACTCAACTCTTCGTTGGAGAATGAAAGAAGATCTAGAAAACTGGAGAAAGCGGCTCATTCTCAGCAGAAAGCCGAGTGGGATGCGGAGAAAGAAGGAATCGATCAGATGGCAGATAATTTTTCGGATGATATAAGAGAACAAGCCGATCTTGTCAAGTCTCTGAAGAAGGAAAGGGACAGTTTGAGAATGGAAATGGATGCCGAAAAGAAATGCAAAGGAGGAACTTTTCAATGCGATTGGCTCAATGGATGAATAGGCGAAACGGTTGGAGGAGCCATATTGTATGTATAGACAAAAAGGAACAATTGTATCATTTCAGACCGTGGAGCTCAAGGACGACACGAACGTTCAAAGAAGAGAAAGTGATGGGAAAAGGTCATTTGCTTATCCATATAATTTCCGAACCTCTTATTCGATTGCTTTGCTATTCTCTATATAACCCTTCTCATTTCTTTCAACTTCTATGAGCAATTTCCAGACTCTCAAATGTTCTAACTTCTCTATTTTTATTAAATCTCTACTAAAGTTATGATAATTAATATAAATAAAGTATGTAGCCAACGTCTTATAAATTTCTCTCGTCGAATACTTCTATTTGCAGATCATTTCAGTTTCATACAATCCAGGCGGCTTTTGACTGAAATTCGTCAAGAAGTCGAAATTGCTATTTTCAAACTTCCGCTCAATAATCTTGAAGCTGAAATAAAATTCCACAACCTCAAAATTCCGTCCAAATTCCCAACACCACCTCTATGAGAATCCTGAAATAATTTCCTAGTTCTCAGAAATCGCCTGGTTCCCATTCTGTTCATGGGGAGTCTTCTAGATTTCTTATTTCAGAAAATTTCGATGTTCAAAGTTTCGGAATTTCGGAATATTCCGATTTTGGAATTTTCAGATTAAATTTAGAGAAATCGACAAAAATCAGTGAAAAACGAAAAAATAAATTCTGAAAAAAAAGAAAAAGTGAAATAAAAGTAATTCTAGGTTACTTTAGTTGCTATACCAGTATAATACTTTTTTTTCCAATTATTTCTAGTTTCAGAACTTCTTCAAAAAATGAGCCACGAGAAGCTTTCAGAATCTACTCCTTCTTCCTCGAGTCATCAGAAGAGAAGATCTGGGACTACTGAGTGGGATTTGGTGTTCCAGAATGGGATTTGGTGTTTCTGCAAAAATTGAGGGACGATGATTTTGTCAAGATGATGATGGCCACGAACTACCTACTGCTGCAAAAAGATAAAACCTATGAAGAAGAAGAGGAATTGGCCAGGAATATTCGACAACTCCGAGAAGAGAGAGGATGACGAAAAGCAGAAAAGAGACATCAGGAAGCCCCGAGACATCAAACTAGATTCAGGATAATTGATTTCGTGATATTTTTATTTGATCGTGTTTTGTTTTAAAATTAGTAAATTGATTATCTTTCTCATATTCAAATGTTGGATCTTGACCATTTCTCAGAATTATACAGACGGTTGAGCTTAGTTTTAAATGATCAAACAAGTTTCAGTAAAAGTAGTTAGACACTGAAAACTGTATTAGTCGATCAAATAGAGTTTAATTGAGTTACCAGACAGGTGTTAACGTTGTTCCCCTGTCTTCTGACACGTCTCTATCTTTTCAATTTTCCTCCGCGCCTCGATCGCTCGTTTATGAATAATAAAAGAAGAAGACAGTTGCAATGCGCTAAAAGATGACGATTCAATTTGCAAGGGAAATTATGAGAAAAGAGATGGTGGAGATGGTGACTCATTGAAGAACGATACTGTACTTGCTCTGATAGAAGCCTACGTGAACTTTATACTTAATTATCTTTGTTCCTTTGAGAAATTTTAAAAATCTGTCAACTGATAAAATGTTGGTAATACTACGATGAATACTTTATCTGTTAACTAATTTTTGATATGTCTCATAGGAATCGAGATAATTGAGCTTGAAGTTCTTGTATAGGGGGAGTTTCCATTTGAGCAAATCTACTCCTTACTAAGAAATCTTTTCTGTCTATCCGTCTGTCTCTGTGTGACTGTGTCGGACCTTCATTTAAAGGAATTGATAAACAAAATACTTTATTTTTCGAAAAATTCGCTCAAAATTCCTATTCATAAAATCCTGTTGTCTTCTGATCAACTTGTAATACATCCCATCGGTGTCCTTCATCAGCTCCTTGTGATTTCCCACTTCCGCTACATCTCCCTCATGCAATCTTGTCGACATCCCTCAGCTTCTTGAACCAACGCCTCCGATTCCACGTCCAATGCCGATGTGGCTTCTCCAAAATCAATACTCGTGGATTTCTAACCAGTTCTCTGGCGCTGCTTCTGACCTCCAGACAGTTGAACTCTTTGCTCTCCACATTTTGTATTGTATCCATCTGCCATCCGTGCCACTCTCATCATATAATCCTCTGTTCCTTCATCATATCCATACAAAATATAGCCACTTTGGTGTGGTAAAATTTGTGGTAAATATTTTCGAGGGCTATTCAAGCAGAATCCGTCCCGACGAAGTGCATAGAACCGTTGGATTAGAGAGACTTGCTATGTACATCGGCTCTTTTTACGCACGAATGACGGAATTCAATTTGTCAACTGAAATTTTAAAATTTATTCACCTTAAAACACATCCTAGGGAATAAAGTAGTTTTACTCAAAAAACCTTCTTAAAAACGAATGGATTTTCGCCATCCGTGCTTAGGGTTAAATAATAAAAATAATTATCAAAAACCCCGAGAGAAAAACCAACTACTTACCACTTTAAAAAAATCACATCTCGAAAAAAAATCAATAAATAGAGACAACCAAAATCAGACGGTTGTCATAAAAAAAGAATAAATGAAAAAGATGCACGGTGGGTTGCTTATATAGGACGCTTTTTCTCTGCACACACTATTTCGCCGATTTTATTATTCCTTCTTCCTCCCCCATGGCTGGGAAAAAGCCGGCGTTCGCAATCGATTTTTTGTCCACAATCGTCTGCGAACCTTTGCTTTTTCGCTGCCCTGGAAGAAAGAAGACTATGAAATCGACGAAGGAACTAGAAAAGTTGTTTTCTCCGCTTCCACGTGGAAGCTGCATCTGCGCAGTCGATTTTAAGAGGTAGTTGATGAAGAATTATTAGAAAAAAGACATACGATGGTCCTACTTATCACGGAGGTTATCAAATGGGCGAAGCAACGAAAGTTCTGCCTTATTTGCGTTATCGAACTCAGAGAAATCCGATTTCAGACACTGATGGGAAGCTCTTTTTTAAACAAAAATTAAAGCTGGTTATCTAAATCGTTTACCGAATTAATTTTCAAATTTCTTTTCACTTTTTTTCGGTTTTATTTTTGAAAATTGTCAAGGAACAAATTGAAAATGTCTACCTACAAAAAAACTAATCAAGTGAACGTGAACGTATATCGAAGTAAACCACAATGATTGTATGTGATCATATATGTCAGGTGTATGTGATCATATAGTAGGTTGATAAGAATTTTCTTTTTCTTTGGCAATGGTGTTTTTGAGTCTCGATATCTGGTTCTCAAAGTGGTTTACCGGGCCAGATTTTTTTGTTGGGAAGCTGAGAAACTTTAAAAATGTTCAAAAAACATAAGTTTATTACAGTTTATTTTTCTCAAAAATTTTAATCAAACATACTGAAGTGACTTTATTCAGAATATAAACTCATAGAAGATTTTTGTTCGTCTTGAAATGGATGAGTCCATCTTCAAACTGATCACGTTGCCTCTTGCTTATTTTATCGCTCTTCTTGAACCATCAGATCTTTCCCTCTTCACCGTCTGGAACACATAACATACAATTTCAACTAAAAAGCGAAAAACTCACATCCTTGTCTCTGTGATCGTTGATTTTGGTAGAGACTGCGAGAGTTGATGGGTTTTTCGACTTTCTGTGGAACCTCTATTTTTCCATATGGGTTGAAAAAGTAATCACCAAGAACTAAAAAAACAAATTGTTCTATTCGAAAATTCGTTGTTGTCACTAACCAAGTTCTTCTTCCAGATTCAGAGAATATGGCTCACATTTTTGGTGCCAGATGACCACCTTCTTCTTTAATTCCTCATTTGCTGCTTGGTCCGGCTCCTCCTGAAAGTACATGCTATTAGGATGAGCAAGACCGAAATCAATATATTCTGGATTCGGGACGTCTGAACAAAGCTGTTTAGTCGAAAAATCTGTGAAAGTCAACCCAGGGGGTTTAGGCTTTGATATTTTAGGATCAGTTGATTGACTGTTGACAATGATGGATCGGAAAAAAAGCTAATTCTTTCTGCGAATTTAGGAATTGAGTTGTGTAAGTAAAAAGGCGAGAAAAAATCGCACTGCATAAAGTTTTTTTATTCCATTTTGGAGAATGTGGTAGTGTATTGACCGACTACGAAAAAAAGAAAAAAGAAAACTTCATATGGAAAAACTTTGTCTACTATATTTTTAGGTGTTTTGTAATAAGTATGCAAAATTCACTTATTAGTTCATTCGATGAAAATTTACTTTTCCAACGGGAAAAACTTGGATTTTAAGAAAAAACTCACATTTTTTGAAACATTGATATTGCGAAATTCCTTTTATTCAAAGGATTTTTAGAATACAATAAGAATATTATAGTCAGGAAAAATATACTCAGAAAAATAATAGGGAAAGGAACGCTCCGAAATCCATTCAATTTAAGGATTTTTAGGAAAGATCCCGGAAAATACAGACGTCTATCCAGTTAAGTCGTCATTGTGGAGAGTGAGGTGGTTAGTGTGAGGCATTGGGACATCTTGTTTGAATTTTACTCTGCGTCTCTATCATTTGTTTATGATTCATAAAAAAAGGACGGCATTGCCAATGCGCAAAAAGATGACGATTCGATTTCCAAGTGGAATTGTTTTTTTGAAAAGAGAGAGGGAGAGATAGTGACTCATCGAAAACCAATAATAGAACCCTACCCTATTTATGCGCTTTCGCATCAATTATCTTCATTCTTATAAAAGAGATCTGTCATAAATCTGTCAACCAAAGAAATATTGGTGATATCATGATAAATAACTTATCAGTTGACCAATTGTATGTCTCTTAGGAACCGAGAAAATTGAGCTTGAAGTTCTCTTATAGAAGGAGATTCCATTAGATCAAATCTACTGCTTACTGAGAAAACTTTTCTGTCTGTTTCTCTGCGTCTGTGTGTTTGTGTCGGACTTTTATTCAAAGAAATTGATAAACAAAATACTTTATTTTTCGAAAAAAATTGTTAAAAATTCCCATACATTAGATCCGATCGTCTCCTGTCCAGCTTGTAGTACATCCCATCAGTGTCTTTCATCACCTCCTTGTGACTTTCCCATTCTGCTACACAACCCTCATGGAACACTGCAATCTTGTCGGCATCCACCATTGTTGAGAGTCGATGAGAGTAGTATAAAAAGTCACGCTCTAGCGCAGTTTTGGGCCCGCCTCTAATAATTACCACTTTTGTCAAAATTTCATATCAATCTCCAAGGATAACCTAATTAATCAATCAAAAACGACCTTTTAAAATCACCCCCTATTTTCCCGAAAATTCCTCGGGCCCTCCATCAGATGGTCAGCGCTCCTTTAACGCTCCGCTGGCGCTTTGAGAATTCTATTCTTAACACCAATTTCAATCTCACATATTCTTCAGCAAATTTTTTGTTTATAAATGTATTGTTTCAAATGTCGGATCAGTACAGATACTACCGACATATCTCAGATTTTGAGCATTAACAACAAGCAGTTGTTGAGAGGAAAATGTGTAGTATGCAAAACGAAAAAATGCAAAATAATTCCCAATTCAAAAAGTGGAGGTACTTTAAAATCCATCAAACCCTCTACCAAAGAAACTAAAAAATCGGAAATCAAACTAGACGATGCATATTACAACCCTGAAACTGGATTTTGTGGAATCAATGAACTACAAAGAAAAACTAAAAAGCCAATTGAAGAAGTAAAGCGATTTCTGAACGAACAAGACGTCTACACTCTTCATAAACCAGCTCGTAAAAATTTCAAATCTGAAAGAGTTTATGTTCACAATATTGATGAGCAATGGCAATCAGATCTTGTTGAAATGATACCGTATGCAGAAGAGAACAACGATTTCAAATATCTTCTCACTGTCATAGACTGTTTCAGTAAGTATGCCTGGGTTATCCCTCTGAAAACAAAGACTGGAAAAGAAACTGCAAGCGCTCTACAAACGATTTTCAAACACAGAAAACCTCAAAAAATGCAGACTGATAATGGTAAAGAGTACTACAACAAAGAAATGAAACTACTATTCAAAGAATCAGATATTCGCCATTTCTCAACTTATTCCGACAAAAAGGCGTCTATTATAGAAAGATTTAATAGAACTCTCAAAGAAAAAATGTGGAAGATGTTTACCTATCAAGGTGATCATAAATGGACAAAAATATTGGACAAACTAGTTTCTGGATATAATAACCACTTTCATCGAGGAATAAAAATGACTCCTATTGAGGCTTCAAAAACAGAGAATGTGCAAAAAGTACACGACAATCTTTTTCCTTCGAAAAAGCTGTTTGAGGAATCCCCCAAATCCAAGTTTAAAATAGATGACACTGTCAGAATCACAAAATACAAAGCTGTTTTTGCTAAAGGTTATCTCCCCAACTGGAGTACAGAGATGTTTAAAATTTCTGAAGTGCATCCAGGTGAAGTTATCAGTTATTCTATTCGGGATTTAGCAGACGAAGAAATCAAAGGAAAGTTTTATGAAGAAGAGCTAACATTCTTCAACAACGTAAACGATGAGCATAAAATTGAATCGATATTAAAACGTAGAACAAGGAAAGGACAGAAAGAATTGTTTGTCAAGTGGTATGGTTATCCTGATAAATTCAATTCTTGGATCCCTGACACTAATCTCAATTAAACACTTACTACTTTGACTCTATTATCTTTAATTTCAACAATATTTTCACTCATAATCAAACAATAACATTTTGTGTTTTTTACAATACTCTTTGAAAAGGAAGCTTTGATTGTGACATCAGGTCTTGATTGAATAATTCTATCATTCTGTTTGGATACATCAAATACTAACAGAGGGTAGTAGTAATAATATACATCTTCCTCCATAAAAATATAATCCTTTGTCGATTCATAGTAACTGTTTCTAAACTCTTTAGCAAAATTGTATTGTTGTACAGCATTAAACTTATCGAAATCAAATTTCAAACAGTCATGAGGATATCTCTCTGAATTTAATTCAACATAAATTTCTTCTAATCCACAATTGTCAAATTTACTAGCATTCAGATAGTTGTTATCCCTAGCACATTGAAATGCTACTACAATATATTTTATTTTGTCATATTTTGTACCCATCTTCCATGTGAATTCCCTATTACCATTAGGGATATTATAGCTTTCGAATTGTCTAGAAATGAAAGGCATTTGTACTAACTTACTGCTTTCGAAAATATTCAATAATTTAATCTGCATTTCAAGACTAGGGACAATCTTTGGAATAATCCATTGTAATCTTTTGATGTTCATCTTCGCTGTAAATTTTGTAGCATCTGACGATACAATGCTATTTTTATTTTCAGGAGATCTGTAGAGTGATAACTGATGCTTCCTACCATAGACTATTTTGTTGTAGCATTCAGCAAATCCAAAGATATGTGTCAACGGAATGCAAAAAGTTATAGTGCCTTTTCTATTTTTCGTATATTTATTTATCTTGTATGTTATAATATCCTTAGTTTCTAAAATCCAGCCAAAAGTATTCTGCTTGTTCATAGTACTACTATAAGTCAAAAGACCTTTCATCAAACTAGCTCTACCAGGATCCATTATGTTTTCTACTTGAA